GTGATAATTTTGAAGACTGCTTTGAGTAGTACCAAACAGACGTGTTTATGCAGCATGGTGCACCTTGCCATAATGCAAAGCTTTAAATCCTATTGAAAACTTGTGGGCACTAATGAAAAACAGATTATGTGAGCATGATACCTCATCAATCCCCAAGCTTGAGGCAGTCATCACAACACACTGGCCAAAAACAGCAACAGAACTTAGACAAAATTCTAGGCTATTCATGAAAAAAGCACATAGCAATTCTGCTAACTGTCACTGCCCAGATGTAATTGAGTGATATCTGAATCCGCCAATGTGGAGTTAGATGAGTAATCTATCAGTTGACGGGGCATCAAGATTATAGGTTGATTTGCATGATATTAGAGGGGCATGACCAAAAAAACATAAAAAATCTTGACGCGGTTCCTCTCGCGCCAAGATTTCTGACGTGCACTGTATATACATATATACATATATACATATATACATATATACATATATACATATATATAAATATATATACATACATACATACATGTATATACATATATAAATATATATACATACATACATACATGTATATACATATATAAATATATATACATACATACATACATATATATACAAATATAAATATATATACATACATACATACATGTATATTCATATATAAATATATATACATACATATATACATACATACATGTATATTCATATATAAATATATATACATACATACATACATGTGTATATATATATATATATATATATATATATATATATATATATATATATATATATATATATATATATACATATTTATGTAGACATATATACATACACATGGCTTGAATCAATTCATTAATAAAATAGAAAATAGAAAACTTGTTACAGACATAATCCAAAGAACCTGTTACCATACACTGGCTTCAGTATTAATGATATTAGTACATAAGATTCAGAGTATGAGTCAGCTGGTCAGATTGCTCCATACATAAGCAAATAGAAGGATAAGTGAAAAAGATAATTTTCAAATCTAAAATTACAATCTTGCCAAATGCAAAGCATGGTCATTAATTCAGATTTCCTTCTTTCTACTTTTATATGGAATAACCACTCTATTTGTCCCTTTGGACACTGCCTGGTCATCACTCTGATGAAGGAATCACGCTAGCAACACTCACAGGCTCAGGGCTCACACTCGTGTCACTAGACCCTTTCCCTGAGTGACAGTGGAGTGAATTGGCAGAAGAGGAGGACCTCCCCGCAGCAACACTCAACAGTCTGCAGTAATTTGCCAATGGACTTTAAACTCATACCCAAGACAGTGACTTTTTCTTCAAGTTCTGTTCACTCACAAGAAAATGTACCCATATTGGTGAAATACCACCTATCACTCACTATAAAAATGATAAGTCAGACACAATGACATCATATCAAAGATGCAGCACTGGAGCCCAGGATATAAACTGATGACAGAAACAATATCCATATGAATACCAAATACTACGCCTCACCAGCATAGCAAGCAAGTTCTGGGATGATAAGCAATATATATAAAGACAAATTATTCTGAGTCATCTTGAAGACAAGGATAGCAAAGTAGGCAACCTGTACTTTGGAAAAAGATAAAGGATTTAAAGGGACCTACAAAATGTAAAGAAAGGGCACTAATGGGATATGTACTGGAATTTCAGTATGAAGCTGAGGTATTGCAGTCTCTTAAAACAAATGGAATGGTTGTCCCAGCTTGCTTTCAACTGTCATTAATGATTCATATGAGATAGAATGATATTCAATCATTCTTTCATACAAGAGAAGTTAGATTAAATACTTTCTAAAGTGATCAAACTTTTATCTTCATGTTAACTACAGTACTATCATCAAACTATCACGGCCATCAACTATTGTGTTATCTTTCTACTTTGTTACACTAGGTAGCTAATTTACTGATGTTTGGGACTGGAACTGTAAGGCAACATAACTTGCTCTGTCTCATCCTGCTTATCCTATTTTCTAATGGGCAAATGGTTTCCTCATACTCATCTACATTGTCAAGGCTAATCATGGTCAAACATATATTTTGATGAAACATATAATTTGCACAGCTGTAAGTTGTTTATACTTTGTCTTAGAATACTGTGCCTTGAATTCATGTCAACTGCAATACTTAAATATGATTTTCTGAATCTTTTCTCATATAAAGAATTTCTGAAAACTTGCAAGAATGCCTCTTTCCACAGTTTCTCTTAATCATTACTGTTTTTTAAGGCTGTATGGCAAATTAAATTTGTAATATACATAGCAGACTATATGCCAACCCCTAAAACTACAATCATGTAAATGACTTATGTAGCAAGCAACTGATATCTGACCATTTTGTTTTTGCTGTATGTAAGGAGCATAATGAAGTTTGACCATGCTTAGCTATTCTAGAGTGAAGGATGTGTGACATAGCTGGCAACACCAGGTAGCTGCTCTAACTCCTCCTCCTCCTTCTATTGCCTATAGTCAC